AATTTGATTTGATCAAATCAAATTCAAATCAAGAGCTTATTCGATTTGATCAAATTCAAATATGTAAATATTTGATTCGATTTGACTTGAGGAACCCTAAGTCTATTAAATTATATTAGATATAATATAAAATTTTGATTTTTTAGTTTTTTTAAAAAAAATGTTAATAATTCAAAATTTTATATAGAAACCTATTTTTTGGCTTTTAATAAAAAAATTCTTTGCAAAATTTTACTATATACTGTGTTTTATCCTAATCTCTTACCCTAACCTCTAACTACTAATACTAGTATAATATTTAATTAATTTATTTTAGATTTTATATTACACAAAACACTGGTGTTAAACACCAGTAGCGTGATTTAGTAAAACCGTTATAATTAGTTTATTAAAACATATTAAGCAAACTCATTTCTATAAATTTATAAAGATTGACAATCTGTGAAATATAGATTATACTATAGTAACTTAATATATAAGTATTGCCAAGAAAAAAAGAGCACCTCAGCTTTTTAAATATATTATTAATTATTAGTAAGATTCAGCCCTTCTGATCAATACATATCGGAATTTTAATTAATGTTATATGTATATACACTAGTGATGTGCCGTTTATATGATATCCAGATTTTTTTAGCGTACAGTACGTACAGTACGCATAGTGTGTATAGTGTGTATAGCATGTGTAATATGTATAGTACACGTATGATATATAAACTATCTATATGTAAGGAGTAATCTTACTTAGAACACAAAAGGCGGTTTCATAAGGAAACTTTTGAGATATGAACGGTTTTATAATTTGTTCTAGAATATTATAAATTTTTTTTGCGTACTGTACTATACGCAGCACATCACTATATACACTATATCGATATAATTAAAGCCCAAAATATTATTGATCAGAAGGGCTAAATCTGACTAATAATTAATAATATACTTAAAAAGCCAGTATGCACTTTTTTCTTGGCTGCACTTATATATGGATTGATTTAAAACACGGAAAAAAAACGAATATTTGATAGTATTTCGATATACTAGTAATAATGAAATATCAAAATCTTAACTAGCAAATTAAATTAAAACTATTTATATAATGATATTTTAGAAAATTGAACAAGATGATGGCATTAATAAAAGCCTACAATCTTATATTTCAGATCTAGAATTGTTAAAAAGAAAACATAATGTATTACGTCGTACGTGCCTTGCATATCTCTGCAGAATCAAGCAAAAGTGTATTACATCTTTCTGTTTTAGCTTTAGCGTTGATAAAAATGTATTATTTAGGATAATTAGGAATTCTATACGTATAGCCTTATAAGCAAATTCATTCTAAATTTAAAATAGTTTAAAAAATAAAAAATAAATTCTGGGCATTTTGCGCGTTATTTAGAGATAAAGGGTCAATTCCAAACCCTGATTATTACTATCTATATTATGATACTGTATGTTGCATGAGGTGCGCGTTATTTCGGACGCGCGTTGGCGTTATTTCGAAACTATGCTATTTTTAGGGAGCGCGATTTTTGAAATAACGCTATTCCGGGAGTTTACGGTATATATCTTGTCAAAGATTAATAATTTTAAAATTACAAAAGTTTGATTTACAATGAAGATAGCTAAAAAATTTTTACTAATTAAAACTTCTGTTTGCAGCATCACAAATAAGTAAAATATCGTTATAGTCTAACTTTTATTAATCAGATTATATCAGCTCATTATAACCTTTCCTTTTTGCTAGGGTTTCCATTAAATCTTAGCGATAATCGTCAATTAAGCTTTACAAAAAAAATTCGCATTTTATCATTTTATGCAGTTGATTATTTAATTTTTTTCACACTAAATTCACATGACTATAAAGATAAGGTTAAATATGTATTACATATCAAATATTTATCGTCGTACTTACTATTTCTGTATTTTTTACTATTTTTCCTATTGGTCATACTATGGTGATGTACGTACGTACGTACATTATAAATTCGTACCCTCTTTAGTGTTAGAAAACAAAAATGGCTGGTTTTCTTGGTATCCCGCCAGCAGTGCTCACAGATTCTTATAAGCCTACTCATGCGTTTCTGTACCCCGAGTCTATCAAGGTTTTTTTTTCTTTATTTGTAAAAGTGGCGTTTCGTGCCAGTCTATAACGCGACTTATTAAACTGTTCGTCATAGAGTGTAGCGTATGGTGAATTTAGAAGCGGGTTTAATGGTGACAAAGAAGATACTCGTTTATTATTTCATGGGATTCGATACATGTGAGTTTTACTAGACAATATCTTTTATATAAAAATGCCTTAAGTAAAAGTTATTATTAATATGTTTATCGTGCTTCATATCAACTACAAATTATCAATTAATTATTCGAGTTAGAATTGAAAACTATGTTTCTGTGAAATGGACTTTACAAGATGTTGAATTGGCAGAAAAATTCTATGAAACTCATAATGCCGGATACAAAAATTTTCCTTTTCCAAAAGACTTGTTTCTCAAGGTATCTCAAAAAAACAATTGATTCGTAGTGCTATAATGATTATAGCATTTTATCACTTTATATAAATTTAATGTCCATGAATTGGCTATTTGACTCACTTCGATAGAATTTTTGCTACGCGATTTTTCTACCGCGTAAATTCTCGAAATAGCGGGCATCTGCGCGTTATTTGACTACGTGCACGTTATTTCGAATACGCCCATGGGCTTTATTTCGGGATAAAGTATTAATTCTGGAATCCGATTGTTACTAATGTTATAAACAGATCGAATGAATAAGCATCAGGTAAATATCGAATACAAGACTTCCGATATGCTACCGATACGCTATATTTAGCGATAAAATTCAGGTGCATATTGAGAGTTTTGTATCTGATATTACCCGATACTTGCTCTTCGAAGTGCGCGCTATTTCAGGACGCGCATGGGCGTTATTTCGAAACCACCTATGCTATTTTTAGGGGCGCGATTTGCGAAATAACGCCCCTGCTCACTATTTCGAGAATTTACGGTACTATGCAGTGCTAAATTCTAATCGTAATACTGATTATTAATAAAATCTTTGATTAGTTTATTAAAGAAAATGACGGGTACTTTCCAGTAAAAATTGAAGCTTTACCTGAAGGTACTGCTTGTCATGTACATACTCCTGTTTATCAGATTACAGCAGAAAAAGATTATTCATTACTGGTCACATTCTTGGAAACTTTGATCACAATGACTTGGGTAAATAATCATTGATTAATTATTTATTAACTTTATTTAATATTTAAAATGTTAATTTATAATATTTTTTTGTTTGCAAAAAACGTGATAAAGTATCCAACAACTGTGGCAACACTTTCACGCCGTGCACGTGATGTCATTGAACAAGCATATAACGATACCGTTGATGAAGATGGATATTGGTCATTGGAAAGGTAAAATATTATTCAAATATTTATATCTTATCTTGCATATATAGCTATTATTTAACTAAAAATATTTTTAAGTCGATTACACGATTTTGGCTTCCGGGGATGCACTTCATTAGAACAATCTGTAATTGGGGGAACTGCCCACCTGGTTTGTTACGATATATGATAATGTATGATAAAATTACAAATGTTTATGCTATTTATAAATATATTTTTATAAAGATCAATTTCACTGGATCTGATACAATGAGTGCTGGTTTCTATGCTCAATTTAAACTCAATAATGGAAATCCTATCGCTACCTCCATCCCAGCAACTGAGCATTCTGTTATGACAGCGCATAAGACTGAAAAAGTATGTAAATGTTAACCCTTTTTTAAATATCATCCCATAATCATAATTATAGTTCAATATTCTCATTCACTATCTATAGGACGCTATTTTGCGTATGATCGATCGGTTTGGTTTTGGAGTGTTTGCTTGTGTGATGGACTCTTTTGATTATGCCAACGCGTTAAATAATATTTTGCCATCAATTGCTGCTCAAAAGGTTGAAAAGGGTGGTTTCATGGTTCTTAGACCTGATAGTGGTGATCAAGTGGAAGTAGTTTTGATGGCACTCAGGTATATTAAATCATTATATGATATATATACACTAAATGGTATTCTGATTTAATATTATTATATATTATTTTTAGGGCTGCTGATAAAGTGTTTGGAAGTGATGTAAATAAAAAGGGTTATAAACTTATTAAAGGTTGTGGTGTTATTCAAGGTGACGCTGTTACCATCGACTCCATGAAAAAAATTTTGCGTGCCGCCAAGGAAGCAGGTTATTCGGCACAAAATATCGCGTTTGGTATGGGTGGTGGACTATTACAGAAAGTTAATCGCGATTCAATGAGCTTTGCTACAAAATTGTGTCATATAACTTATGCTGATGGATCTCAAAGGTTTGTTTTAAATTAACAAATATTTTGAGATTTCGCTTTAACATTTTAATAAACATGTATAAATATATATGTAGGGATATCATGAAATTTCCAAAGACAGAAACCGGAAAAATTAGTTTGCCCGGTGAATTTGTCGTCAAGAAAAATGAACATGGAGTATGCACAATCTTTTTAATTAGCTCTTATGATTTGCTTGCTTTTTTCAAAGCTTTAAATTTTCAAATTCTCTTTGTTTTACATTATAGGTGCCAATCGTTTATCCTAAAGAATGCTGTGCTGAAAATGATCCTGAAAACCTCCTGCGTGTGGTTTATGATAATGGTAAAGTCATTGAATGGGATGATTTCGATACTATTCGTAAACGTGCAGCTAAGGAATGGTCATGTTTACCGCGCTCCTACGACAATATTAGTCCGGAACTTAAAGCGAAAATTTCAAAATGCATTCAAGAGATCAAAAGCAGACTAGAAAAGTAAATTCGGAAATGAACTTATTATATTTAAACCTACATAAATATATGCTCTATATAAATTCATTAAATAGGTACACCTTTTATAAATGCACAATTTTCTTTTTTTTTTTTTGCTATGTTCTAAATGAGATACGCTTAGAAAGGTCTAACTGTTCTGATAACTACACAATATTTATATTTGTATTTATATTTGTATAGTTCTTACTGAGTAAATGAGAATTAATCTTTAAATTAACTTTTGATAATTTTTTTTCATAAGTAGAGATATTTTTGTTTACAAATATCTAAAATATATTATGATTTTTTGACAATTAATCATTCAGGGTTGGTCAATAGTCAAGCTTGATCTGACTAATTTAACCAGTTGGTTAAAGATTTAGTATTGGTTAAATTGGTTAAATATGTAATACTGTATTTACTATAAATATAGTATATACAGTATATATATATATCAGTGTTGGGCAAATTAGTGGTCAACCAAAAATTTACTGGTCAAATTAGTCAAATGGTAATAAATTATATTTAAATAAACTATTTGACCAATTAGACCAGTACAGATCCTTTGACCAGACCAGTCAAATTGGTCAAATTGGTCTGGTTAAGTCAACACTAATTAATATATAGTATATATATAATTATATACACTGGTCGAAATTTTTTAATATAATAGGCTGATACAAAGGTGATTTATATAAAAACAAACATTATAAAATCAGG